GATTTGAACAAGTTTCTGAATACTGGAATGTAGAGCGGAAACCAGAGGCGTGTAATTATTGAGTAACCCACAAACAACCTGAGTACAAGCAACCAAATCGTCGAGAGGGTTTCGTTGGTTGACTCTTGTAATAGCTTTAAGTAAGTAAGTGCGTACTTCAGAGAGAAACTCGGTGTGGACACTGGAAAGAGTGGGCAACACTCGGCGATAGATGATTGTCACATGCCGAAAAGCAGCTAGCTCCTCTGGCGTAGAGAAGTGCGCCAGATGTGGTTTTAGAAGGCGTATTTGTTCGAAATTGAACAGTTTGGGATCAGCATTGGCAAATATCGTGAGCACCTGCAGCGCGTCGCGCCCAGACGGAGTTGAAGGATCATCCGGATCGAGGTTATCGATTAAACCAAACATGTTGGCAACGAGTTTGGTGCAGACTGTGAAAGGTCCACCTAGAGACTTATCCTTTGGTTTCAGGATGGTCCGGAACACCTTGTCAAGCATTTCAGTAACCGTACCAGACTTGACAGTTTGGATGACAAGCGATACGTGCTCGTTGAGTGAAGTTTGGTAAACTGCGGTTCCGTCGTCTTGGTAAAAGGGCGCAAACCAAACCTCCTCTATCATCTGGCGGGCTAGATCGCGGACACCTTCATCTGGATCCTGTACTCGACGCAACAACCCGCTCGCTATCATGCTGCGCAGTGTCTTGCTTGGATTGCGAAGGTAGATATCGCGAGTAAGCTTCATTGCACGTTTGCGTACACCGAGACCATTATCATGGAATCGATTGACAATCATGGGAGTCAAGGACGTCTCAAGACGTGGCCGCATCATCATGCAATTACCAAGCAGTCCCAGAGCTGAGTCTCGCACTTGGATTGATGAATCGCCAGCACATTCCAGAATCAGGTCAATCACAGTATTGTCGGCATCCAAGATTGAGGGATCAGTCTCGAGCACTTGGTTCACGCTCTTGAGACTGCGGCTTCGGACCGTAGCTTGGTCACTAGCCATAGAGCCAAGAAGAATGTTCAGAATCTTGCTGAAAGCTTCACATAGTGGTGAACGTAGTAAGATGATCGAGTAAGAAAGTTTGGCTTGATTTGTCGATACAGTCTTAATTTTGAACGTGTATTCGTTGGCAAGCCATCGTCGATCCTCAACCATCATCCTCAATCGATAAGCCAGACGTCCGAGTTCCTCATCTCGTTCATCATCTTCATCTGTGTAAGAGTCGTAGCCGACATGTACCTGAGATGCCCAGCCCGTAATGAGAAACGAGATGGCACTCGAGAGGTGTGGATCTTCGTCACTCTTACTCTGCACATGCTCTAAAACGACCCGATAGGGCCCAGTCCAAGCTACCAGCTGTTCCAAGCGAGTTTTGTGTTCCAGAGCTTGATTAGCGACATCGACAAGATATTCTGACAACTCGTCACCGTCAGTCCCATCGGAGGAACTCGTGAGACTTTGAACACGAGAACGGAGGCGGGAAATGGCAGCACTCAGTCCGCCCAATAGTTCCAGTGCCATGTTTTTCGCTGGGGCAGCAGTCTTGGGTGCTTCGAAAAGCTGGACCATCATGATCATCAGAAGGCGAAGCAACAGTTCAGCTGATGGCCAGTCGGGCGAATCAAGACAAGTAGTAAAATCTTCCACGAAAAGATCAAGAAGATTTCGGTAAGGGGTATCTCCAGATTTGGTCGACCCGATGGCACGTTTGACGATGAAGCTTATCACATAAGATGCATTGCGCTGCGCCGCATCAGATAATGGAGCAACAGAGATCTCAAGGTCCTTGATAGCAACAGCGTGTTGCTTCGCGCCCTGTACCTCACTTTTAATCGACGAAACAAATTGCTTCGCAAGTGGTGCGCGATCATCCTCATCAGAACTTCCTTCTTGCTCGTGATTGGGGTTATTGTTGACATTGCGTATCAATTTGCTGCGTGTTCGATTTTTGTTGTTATCAACTCGCCCGGAACTAGCTTGAACCAGCCTCATGATCAAAGCTGACACAGGCTGGATGTTTTTCCCGTCGGATAGCTTGAATTGTCGAGCACTTTGCTTGCCGACAGGGAGCTTCTCCAGGGATGTAAGAATGTCGTCGATGATGCCTTGGCGTTGCTCAGGTTTGATCAAGAAGATCTGTGAGAGCATGTCCATTGCCACGGACCGAAGCCCGTCAAACTTTTGAACTCCCAAGACAGAATCCTTCTCAAAGTATGCATTCTCCATGAAAATGAGTCGGGAGGCGGTGTATTCCATTGAGTTGATCACTGACTCTGAGAGCTCGATCTTGGTAACAAGTTCTGCTAGCAAGGCGAACAACTTCTGGCAAGAGAGGAAGACAGCTGCGATAGGCTTCTTGTTCTTCGAAAGCAACTTGAATACAACCGATGCAGGTCCAGATGGCCGAAGTTCCACGAGAGGCATGACAATGTCCTCGGTGACCTTTCTGAAGATATCAGCGCATCTCTGGATAACAGATTCTGAATACAATTGCTTGTCTTCTCGTCCGCCCGAGAGAATGCGCAGGCATGTGCGAGCTGACTTCAGCATTGTCTCCACATCTGAGAGTTGCTGTATCCATGTATCAACGGCATCTTCGCCCCAAGTCTCGTCGACTCGGATCTCCAGATTCTCAACTTGCTTCAAGCTGGCATCACTCAGTTTGATGATTTGAGTCAGATGCTCTACTGGTACACGGTCGAAACATCTTAGAGCAATCGTCTTCTGAATAGCACCATGCATCTTCTGTTGCGAAGAGGCGGTCATAGCAACCTCTTGGTCTGGTGTCACAGAAACAATTTCGTCTTGTCCGGGTCCTTCTCCAAGCATTCGCCCAACCGAATTGAACACAACGCGTACAAGCTTGTCAAGTGCATGGAGGGCTGCCTCGCTGCGTTGACGCTGATCGAGGCTCTCTCCAATCAGATCTGGACTATGAGAATAGGCTTGTTGGCTCTCTTTTCGAACCGATAGGTAATGGGGGTCCTCCGGGCGAGCTTCGACCTCGATGTACTCTTCTCGATTGATATTGGCAGCTGGTAGCTCAATTCGAAATGCCCCATTCTGGTTATTTTCGGTGGTAGCTTGGATGGGGAGCTGAGCTGCTGTGACTGGAGGCTGTGTCATCGGCTGTATTTGCGGTTGCTCATGTTGGACTGGAATAACTGGAAAGTCTTGCTGAGGCGCATCGCTCACGTCAACATAAGTTGAAGGATCAAATTGTCTCTTAGATGGTATCGCAACCTCGATCCTAACGGAGTTCGACTTGTGTGCTTTAGAGTTATGCGTCGGCAAGTGGGACGGTTGTGGAGGATTCGGTGACTTTATTGAAGCTGATCGTTGCTTGGGGGTCGGGTGAACAGGCGCTTGACCGTTGACCTGCTTGGCATCAGAAGCCACGGGCTTTGTCGTCTTAAAATAACCTCCCACCTTATCGAAGACAGTTCTTGTGAGCGGCGACAAACCATCAATCAGGCTCTTGCTGGTAGGGGGGGTCGATTTCATTCCTGAAATTGTGGTAAACTTGCTACTCGACAGTCAGATTGTGGCTCTTAGTATGCACGGCACAGTTATCATACTAATGTGTTCGTTGACTTGGTTTGATTTCTTGGAGGACATGGTCAACCGCTTGCTTTACGTTGCGCGGCATCTGATTATGGCCCGCTGCTTCCTTATTTAGGTAGTCGAAGTCGTGTGTTTGAAATAGGTCAGTCAGAGGGAGCGCAGGGGAGCCTGAGCCTAGGACGGGGTCGGGGATGATATCTGACGAGAGTTAGGCGGAGTATATCGAGAAGCGGTGATAACTGACCAGAAATGAGAGGAATAGTCGATGTCTGTGGTGAATAGGGAAGCGCCTCTTGGAGTGTGAACGGACGAGCAATAATGCCCTCCTCAGCCCCCGCTTGAGCAAACTGCCCATTTGGGTCCGCCCCATGCTGCTGCGTGTTGTTCATTGTCGCAGGAGGGAAGGCGGTTCATCGCATATCTTGGTTCGAAAGGAAGGAGCAAGCGGATACCAGCGCATCGGATATTGACAGGATAGGGTCAGGTATGGATCAAAAGACACGCTCTGAGCGCGTATTCAAAGGAAATATGTTCTCAGGAAGCAAGTAGTCGGAGTCGCGGTAAGGTGATTGGGTTGAAAAAGTAACGGGATTAAATGCAGCTAAGCATTGTTACCCGCTTTGCGTGAATGTAAACGACGAGGTCATGGAAAGCCTGAGGAAGCCAACATGATCAGCCTCGCGAGCTTTGGACTTTCCTTGGATGTTTTCGAGACAGCTACTGGTCTGTGCGCAAAGCGCACCACCACTCAGAGGCTATTCCGTCATGGCCCACTCTTGCCTCGTCAGTTTTTCCGGAAGACCCTTGCAACCTTCGATTTGAGCCTATGATGGCTGGGCCAATTTTTTGTCTTTGAATTTGTTCAGCTTGCGCAAGTAGTCGACCAAATTCCCCAATTGTGCAGAAGTCACTCACAACTCACAATGGCTGCGATCGGAACTCTCGTCTTTTGTACCGACTGCGGTAACCTGTTGCCTGCAACAAAAGGGACTCAGCGAAATGTTTTGCATTGCGAATGCTGTGGCGCAGAGAATCGAGGTTTGTACGCTTGGTGTTGTATTTGGCAAGATCTCTAACAGGTTATGCAGATACTGGTTCCAAAGTTACCGTTACACAAACAAAGCCCTCCGACTTCCCTTCTTTCTTGAGGCAGAAGCTCCAGTCAAGTGTCCAGGCTGTTGAGAAACACAATTTGCAAACCGATAGCACTGTTCACGAAACATGCCCCAAGTGCGGTCGTGAAGAGGTCAAGTATACCAACGTTCAATTGCGCGGTGCAGACGAAGGATCAACGGTCATCTACCTTTGCGATTGCGGCAACTCGTGAGAATCCCGAATCCATCTATTTCAACTAATCTAACATTTAACTTTTAGGTGGCATGAAAACAACTAGACGCAATACTCGACAACACAAGCGTACTCATAAATCATACAGAAACTCCTGCGGTCTCGGGAATCAAAGCATACTCAGCCTCTCCACCCTTCTCATACTCAGCGATATCCAGCGCAACAATGCAACTCTCTCGAACAACCTTTTCCTTGTCATGAAGGAACTTTCTTAGGGTAGCCTCGACACCTTCCTCCTCGCCCAGGCTGCCAAGTGCCTCGGCCGCTTCATGTCGAACCATGCTAGCCTCGTTGACGTTACTCAATGCCTCAGTCAGGGCTGGGATAGAAGCGGGGTGTGAAAGCTGGCCAAATACAAAGGCGATCTCGTGTCGGAAGAGTGCAGACGAGTCGGACAATCCTTTAGCAAGAGCGAGAACGGCGGGGACAGCAGTGGGTAGGTCGGGAGGTGATGCCAGATCGCGGAGAGCAAACATGGCGCGGTAACGAAGGAATAGAGGCAGATTTGTATCCATGAGCTTGTGGCCAAGCTCCTCGACTTCGGCCTTCTGTTCGGATTCGGGCATTGGGGGCGCAGGATCGATAGAGGCAAAATCACTAGTCGACAAATGTTAATCTGGGGCAACCCTAATAAGTCTTTGCACAAACCTAGGGCGCAACTTTTCCTTTCGTCGCTGTTCTGAGTTCTCCCATTCAATGCGCTCGATAGCGATCTCGCATGTCTCGATAATGCTTATGTCCTCTTCTTTACGATCTCGGTACTCGCGGAGGATATCCAGGTTGTCGGCCCAGCCTAGGGCGCCAAGGGCTTCGGCAGCTTCATGGCGGCACATTGGATCCTCCTTCAAATCAGCCAGAACCTGTCGGAGAGGCTTGACAGCAGCGGGGTTGCCTGTCTGTCCTAGACAGTATGCGAGCTCATGCTTGAGCAAGGCTGAAGGTGAGGTGAATCCGGCAGCGATGGCTTCGATGGCTGCAATCCTTGTAGTATCGTCATCCGAGGTGGTCGCCACGTGCTTCAGTGAGAAAAGAGCACGAAAACGGATGGGAAGAGGGGTGTCCTCGGAACAGAGGGATTTTCTCAAGCTCAGAACCGTGGAATCGGCGGAGTTGGGGGTCTCTGGGGTATCGGCAGAAGGAGACATTTTGGATTATCGATGTGAAACAGATCTTGATGTATCATAGGGTGTTCTAGATCAGCTCAGAATAAAATCTTCGCGGGGTCCTGAGCTTATCTTATCTCAGATAAATATGAGATAACCCCGCCACTGATCGGCTTTTTTTTAGGTGTGCCTGTCATGAGTTTTGGGCAGATCACCGACCGCCTTTAGCCGGTCCGATAACCGGCGCGCTTTCAGCGTGTTGGGTACAATGGAAATGGCAGGAAACTTTGAAGATGTCTTTTATTGTTGATGCAACGGTTTTCGGAGTGACCTGCGATCACTGAGGCTTTTCATATCAACATCACTGACAGTGATAGTATGAAACATTAGTACAGTTACTTATCATTGAGCCATATCACTGGGAATGAATTGAAGTATTTGGTTTTGAGGATATTTATACATAGTACGAAGATGTTAATGCTTACCTACCTACCTTCTAGTAGTAAGTCGTTGGATAAGCATTTGTTGGAAAGGCCATTTTTTCCTCTGTATCTATCAGACATATTGAGGAGCCTACAGTCCGAGCTTATCGAGTTCCCTTTGATTTCTCAGACACTTGACTCACCCTGACCTACTCCGTGTTAACCCAATATTCCTCACAGTGAATAAACCGTCTTAAACATCGAGGAGATCTAGAAGACTCGTATATTGATCCCACCTTCAGCAACTTTCCCCTGAGAGCTAACTTCAATATATCGATATATTCATTAGATTTTGATCACTTCAATGTTTCTTGACTCATTGGTTGTCATCTGTTATTCCGCGGCGATACTTCACATCTCCGGACGCTTGCTAAGCAACCAATCAACATAGACGCTTAGCACTTACCCTAGGAACAACCACATCGATTATCTTAACCTCACCAACATTCTTTGGACTCTCTCAAAAGTTAATCCAGAAAGATACCAGATCCCAGTCAGGGAGAGTTAGCCCTCGCTTCTTTTTCTTTCTTACCACTCTTTTCCTCGCTGTTCAGGACAATCCTAAAATTTGCTGCATTATTAAGCTTCGAGCTCAAGTCGCCACCCCTACTCACTTTCCCTCGCTTCACCTCACTTCACATAAAGACAATGGCGCCTTCTCTTGAGGCCCCAGAGGCTGTAGACGACGTCCTCGCCAATCCGATCAAGCAGAAGCCACAACTAGTTGCGCCAGAGCCTCAGAACTGTGTTGGCCCCGATTCAGAGCAAGCCGGTAAGACGGACGCATGCGCCGGGTGTCCAAACCAGGCCATCTGCGCATCAGCGCCCAAGGGACCGGACCCTGATATCCCTATCATCTCGGCGCGTCTGGAGAATGTCAAACACAAAATCCTAGTACTGAGCGGAAAGGGCGGTGTCGGAAAGAGTACATTTACATCTCTATTGGCACACGCCTTCGCGACAAATCCAGACAGCACTGTGGGTATCATGGACACTGATATCTGTGGACCCAGTATCCCCAAGATGATGGGCGTGGAGGGTGAGACTGTGCATGTCAGTGGTACAGGTTGGTCCCCCATCTGGGTCATGGACAACCTCTCGGTCATGAGTATTCAATTTCTACTGCCCAACCGGGATGACGCTGTCATTTGGCGGGGACCCAAGAAGAACGGTCTGATCAAGCAATTTCTCAAGGATGTGGAATGGGGTGACCTTGACTTTTTACTTGTCGACACACCACCAGGCACAAGCGATGAGCATCTCAGTGTGAACTCATTCCTGAAGGAGAGTGGGATCGATGGTGCTGTCATGGTCACCACACCACAGGAGGTATCACTTTTGGATGTAAGAAAAGAGATCGACTTCTGCCGGAAAGCCGGCATCAGGGTTTTAGGTCTTGCAGAGAACATGAGCGGCTTCGTCTGCCCCAAGTGTTCAACCGAAAGTCAGATCTTTAAAGCAAGCACAGGAGGAGGACGTGCGCTGGCTGAAGAGATGGGCATTCCCTTCTTGGGATCAGTGCCCTTGGACCCTAGAATCAGGATGGCATGTGATTACGGAGAGAGTTACTTCGACTCATTCCCAGATAGCCCCGCCTGCATTGCGTTTCAAGGAGTTGTCAAGAATGTTGCGATGCAGTTGGGATTAAACACCCAGGATGTGCTGCCGGATGAGTAGGCAGGTATCTTCAAGTTACGTTTTTATGTAGATCATGATATACGGGTTTCGCTTCCACACCACGTTGCCTTTCTTTTGTGTGATTCTTGATTACTCTGACTTAAGCTTGTCAGGGATCTCCTCCAAATCTTCCGCCGACTCGATATCAATAATTCGTCCGACCTCGGCCGTGTTGCGCATCAACTCCTTGGCGCCTGCGTAGAGCATTCTGATCTCGGCATTGCAGGTAACGGGGAGGTAGAATATAAGTACGTATGGCACAGACAAGCGCCCATCGCCCTATTCTCATCTCAGCATCGTGTCAAATGTCAAGCATTCCTGACAGTTGCTCGGTCATACATACCATGGTGAGGGGGTAGCTCAGGAGGATAAATCGAGGCGCATGATCGGGGAGGTCATCTCCAATTTCTTCGAGGGAAGTATAAACGGTCTTGTCTTCGTCTTGTCGGATCTCGTAAGTGTTCTTATCGATCAGGTCTACAGGAGGGACGGTTAGCAAGAGAAAGGAGACCAACGACCCTCGAGTCTTATCACAAAGAGACGCACATACAAATAACAGCTTGGGGATCCTTGGCCCGAGAAGTAGTAAGCCTAAACTTGCGGAGGTGGTCCTTTGACTCTCCAGAGAAGGTATACAGTCGCGATTCCGACGCCTAAACGTAGGATGTCAGCGGGCGAACTGGAGACGGAGAGGAAGAGGTGTGAGTGTATGTACCATTTTGGAGCTTGGTTAGGCTTTGGTAATAGGTAAGGCCCTCTTTGTAGCTGTTTCAAAGCTGTGTCTGATACCTCAACTCTGTTTAGCAGTTATCAGTCGAGTAAAGTTGGTGTAGCCCAATGCCCCGCCAAAGGGTAGGTATGTACAGTAAGTAACCGTTGACTTGACCCCACATTGTCCCGCCATAGGTTGTCTAGCGCAGCGAGTTAACGTCATCTACAGGCTGTTGAAATCGAGACAACATTGGATCAATAAAGGGAGAACTTGCATATTTACCCTGCTATCTGCCTAATCAGCTGATCCTCAAGCTCTCTTATTGCATCTGCCTTTGACCATCCATGTTCTCACGCATCTCTCAGGTAACCCGGCATCTTTCAGCTCCCGTTGTTGGCAACACCAGGCGATTCGCCCTAGGAAGAACCATGGCTCCTATATCAGCAGATGAGCGCAACTCGCGCACCATTTCTACAGCCGCCTGCTTGATCATCGGTGACGAAGTTCTGGGCGGAAAGGTATAGTTCTCTGAATACATCTTACTGTCTGTGTAACAGAATGGGGGTAACTGACATCATGAATGCAGACAGTTGACGTGAGTGATTGAAGTATGAGCAAGTTATTGTATTAATCGAGATAGACCAACTCTGCTTATTTTGCCAAATGGTGCTTTAACCTCGGGATTGTAGGTCTGACCTTGGGTAGCTAAGAACGCGAATGCTAAATAGATATAGAACCTCAAGCGCATCGAGGTGATAGAGGACGATGAAGGCGAAATTGTTGAGGCTGTTCAGAGAATGAGTGACCGTTATGACTTTGTTGTTACTAGGTAAGTCCTTCGGCGACGCTACGTGGGGATTGAATAACTAGCTAATATGAATCAGTGGTGGGATTGGGCCTACGTGAGGATTCACTACCCTCATTTTGACATAAGGTATACTAACATCTTAGACACGACGACATTACCTACCAATCGATCGCCAAGGCCTTCAACCTGCCTCTCAAACTACACCAAGAAACCTTTGACAAGATGAAGCTGATGTCAAAGGTTCATCCCAATCAACCCAAGTTCGATTGGGATGTCGACTCGCCAGCAAGAAGGGCAAAGCTTCGCATGGCTGAGTTGCCAATTGATGAATCTCGGGACCTTAAGAAGCAGGCTCTTTTCCCTCATGATGATCTTTGGGTTCCCGTATCAGTCGTGAACGGAAATATCCATATCCTGCCGGGTATCCCTAGACTTTGTAAGTCATTTCCTGAGTGCCGCTTACTATTTGCTAATCGGAAATAGTTCAGAGACTTCTCGATGGGCTGAAGCCTCACATCCTGCCGCGTCTCAGTGACCCTGAAGGGAAGGGTACGCATAGAGTATTGTTCTCTACACCTCTTCCCGAGAGTGGTGTTGCCGACTACCTCACAACCTTGGCTGCCAAAGTTGGGCCCAAAGGTGTCAAGGTCGGGAGTTATCCTCGCTGGGGCAAGAAAAATAACACGGTCACACTTGTTGGACGGTTAGCAGGCAACATTACCAGATGCTAAAGTGCTAAATATGCTGACACAGATATAGGGATTTAGAGTATCTTGAGAGTCTCGTTGATGAAGTCCAAGCTGGCATCCAGGGTCTGCGAGTTGATGCTGAGAGTGACGGAGAAGAAGACCCGAAGCAGATTAAGAAGCAGGCGACCGAAGACGCGGACAAGGACACCACGGAGCAAGTTGCTGAGAAACCTTGATATATCTTGATAGCTGGGATCCTTGGATATTTGGAAGTCCGCAAGGTATGGTGGCGGGTTGTAGTTGCGCTGATCACAGTAACATCCGTTGGAACTCTGTAAAGAGTTGCCATTGGCTACATTGCATGTTTCGTTGATATCCTTGAATATATGTAGACAAATGTTATAGAATGTTCGGAGTTGCATTCTGATACTGGCGCACGGGCTTGAAACTTTCGGTGATTCAACGGTCAAAACCTGATCATCTCGTCGATCATGGCGCTCTTTTTTCAGACGAGCTGCATGGGCAGCATTCTTGGACACCAGGTATCTCAGACCGATCCAACGTTGATGAAATCTGGCACTTGGGCTTGTACATCGATTTTGCTGCGCAGTTACCTGCATAGGTACTTGACAACTTTTGAATCGCCTGTGGATTCAGCACTTGCGGCCAACACATGAAACATATGTCGTGCATCCTGGTACAAGGTAAAGGTGTTGAATCTTTGTTGTACCATACTGACTTTAGGGTTGGCAACCGAGATAAGACAATGGAGCAGAGTTAAGTCTCATCTCCGACGCCCTGAGGGGCCGTAACGTAGTATCGGCGTTGAACAAGTTGACTTGCCCAAGTCATAATATCATACGATTTTGAGTAACAAGAGGGGCCAGTGATCTGTTGTGTTGCAGATCAACGCGTGAACATCAACAGAAGGCTAGAGAGAGACTCGTGCTTCATGTGATGGCACGCTATATTCGGAAGCTGACTCGAGGCTCTTGCCTATAAGGAACCTGGGGTGTGACGAAGACCAGGGGGTATGAACAAAGAGGATGGTGGAGGTGGAGTCGATAGATTGTCTTAGGCACATCGTAGCGGCGATACCAAGGCTCGTGACATGATCGGCGCCGAGATCAGAGGTTAGACCTTGAACAAACCCACGACACCTGAGGGGGAGATTGAAATATGTCGTGATATGCGCTTGGCATAGAACTAAGCCAGAGCGTAATCTACCGAAAAGGGGCTGTTGCTAGGACGAGTCCAAGGGACATATCGAAGTGGACCACAACCTGGAACTGGTGGGGACGGGCGCAAACGCAAATGGAAAAGACGTCATTTCGTTCTAGAAGCTTACTATAGAAGTTGTTGGAGATCATTCACATTCAACTTGATTGCACTGACGTTGCATGTATTTGCATTCGGCCGAAAGAGTCAAGAAGCAGAACTTCAAGTGACACAGGCGAAGATGCTTTGAATTAACGACTGACAGCATGCCAGTACAGTTGCTCACGAACGGCCGAGGGAGGCTAGATTCGTGCCATTGTTTGTTGAGTTTTTGAAGAAGTTTATAAACAACCTGTACTTCAAGCTGCCATCCTATCCTTACCTAAACTACAGGATCACGTGTCTGCTGCAGGCCTGACAGAAGCCCCACACGTTAACCCCACAACTCCCGTCGAGCCGCAATATCACAGTTACTTCTTTCTATCGTCAAACATAGGTACTTACAAACAGATATTCTCCCCCCCTGTAAAATCATATAGGCTCTTCGGCTCGTAGGAAAGACTGTAATTTATTTCAGAAACTCGGAGCATATCTCCAAACGCTGCCAGTTTTCCGAGAATGCTGGGGTACAGCCGTCGCTCGCTTGACGAAGAGAGTGGACGTGTCTACCCGCGAGGGTTCAGCGCCAATTGGTGTTCGCAACATAGGTATCAGGTATGACAGGGCCTGGCGAGATGATTTGACCTTGCTGTTAGGTGCCCTTTGGCAGCTGCTATGGATATTCTGGGAGTAACTGTTGAACGCTGGGATGCGATACGCGACGTGTTTACGGCCATCACCCAATTCGGATCACACTCTGAAGAACGACTCTTCACGTTCCTTTCTCAGGTACGTTCCATGATGCAACTCCTGTTCTTCTAGGGTAAAGAACACTACTTATGGTGACATATTGTGGCCTTAGGGAAGAGCCGTAGCGGACCCTACAGGCATAGTCGGAATCGGTTGCCAGGCATCCTCGCCATTGAAACTCGCAAACCATCTTAGCCAGTTAACCGATGTGTGGGCTTCAGACTGACACTAGACAGTTCGTCAAAGTTTCGGTAAAGGGCTTGTTTGACAGCTTTGTTCGTCTGCTAACCATTATCCTAACCCGTTTACTTGACCGAAGCCCTATCCTAACGTACGAGCTTGGCTTTCAGCTCCTGGCCCATTGAGTAGGTTTCTGGCAGAGCATAGTTTTCTTTGTATCATGTGTTATTAGTTGAGCCTGTGATTGGTTTTGTAGATTCATCACGCTTTCCGAACGAATTACTGAAACTTCCATCTGAGGTCAGGAACCAACCCCCACCCAGACTCAAGTGACCAGACACCAACATACAGAATTTACTTAGTAATTGCTCCAGGCCTCATGCCTCATGCTTTGTGTTCACCTGTTCCCGGCACATCTTGTTCGAAATAAACCCCAGTCATCGCAGGCTATCAGTGAATATTGCTTAGCCCGGGATGATCTTCGAAGTGATAAGAGTGCTCGGCTTGATAAGCTCAGTTGAAGCTATCGCTGCGTGGAATCTAGTTCTTCATATCGCCTAACAGAACCCTTATGTAATGTTTTGAGATGGGCGGTTATCTAGGATCTGTATCATAGCCATCAGATTGGGTTATCGACCTAGCCACGCCACGCATCGATCAACCCCCACCCGGCTTGATCCTGTTGACACACTGTCACATCTTCAACAGCCTCAAACGCGCCAACGCTAGTAGTACGGCGTGCAGGAAAGTTGTTGTGGTTCGTCTGGCGAAGGCGGCTGGCCATTGCAACGTTGAATGGTTGTACATTGGAGGATGAAAGGAACAAGAACAATGAGCGTAGTGAAACGTTTGTCCTGCAGGCACTAAGACACTTCCACTATTTAGGTGCAGGCTAGGGAGTAAAGCTGTGAATAGGTAGGGTCAGCTCATGTTGATTGCTGAATTCAGCCCAAGCGTTGCAAGAGTCAATCCGTGTCTTGAGAATTTTTGTTTGTTTTTATAAGTGACGGCGCATCTTCAACCTGAAACCAACGATATATGAGTCGTCATGATAGTGTACGTACTGCATATAAATAGTGTGAGTTCCAGTTCCACCAGATAAAACATCGCACCTACATCGTCATCACAGCAGATTTTAGCGAAAGGCAATGAAGTCGAGCACCACTCCTACCGCCCTGCACGTTAGAACCATGACCCTGGACTTGGACTCTGAGCTAACCGACTTGAGATTAAGAGCATCGGAGCTTGTTAACTTGTCACCCCATTCATTCCCCAGGTCCAGGGGCTCACCGATGGGACGGGGGACCTGGAAAGAGAGAGAGTAAGGGGTGAGGAACGTTGATCTGCATTAGATCGAGACATGAGAGAATGGCTATGTAGTATGGATAATGGACTCACGCCAATATCATCATTGGCGCCTATGAAAAGGGTTTTCTTCCTTCTGTCACAAATTTATTGTTGGTTGAATCATGACAAGGCACGGCTTATTAATAACGTTCTCTGAAGGTGCTTGCGCTTGGGCCATGGGATTGGATGTAATTGGTTATGATGAAGTTACTTAGCGGTAACAGCGACCGTCTAGACGACCAATTCGAGTGATGACTGGATATCTGGGCGCGAAATGGTGAAAGTGATTACAAGGTCTCAACCATCTATACCCGTGCAATAAGAACGCAGATTCTGTTGCAAGAGGAACCCGCTCAGGTTTGTGTGACCGAACGAAAGATGCTGATGATGAATAGGACTAGCCATTCGCCAATGTGCGATAACGGTGCCCCCTCCATGTATTGGGTGAAGTATGAGGCCTATCCTAAGAGGCTATATTTCGTATCTCGATGTACTCCATATGGTACAAACGAAGGCTTCTCTATTAACAAAAGCCAAAGGATCACTTCGCTTATTCCTGGACTTGGTGAACTTGGGCATATTAGATGTATACAGTCGAAGAGATAAGAAACACACAAACAACGGCCATCGAGAACAAACAGCAGAGTTGAAATGAGCAATTAAAATCGAAAGGGACCATGCGACATGCCTGATGCTACGGAAATAACATCGCTATCCAGTATATGGTCATTATGCTGAAGCCGGGCTCTATTACTCGACAAAAATTGTGAATTGAAGTACTTATGTTTCGTCTGATCTTGTTTATAGGTTGTGAAGTAATGTCTAGGTTACCTATACTCTAAGGAACAACAAACAAAAGATGGAGAAGACACCGGCGGTCGCAATTATCAACGGTACATAATGTGTATGGATGGTCGGCCTCATTTACATGGCTCGACCGAAAAGGCCGGGGTCACGGCGCCGGTGTATCTCGGGGGGTGTTCCGCCGTCCATTCTCCTGCCTTAGCGAGTAAGACGATGGGGTTAGAAGAACTGGCTAATTTGTTCTATAAATCGTAGCTTAAAAAGAAGCGCGGAATAACTTTTAGACTTGACATATCACAACCAAGGATGAGGCGTGCCCTGGCCTGGGTAGCCGTTAAGGATCTGCACCCTCGCTTGCTGTTGCTGGTCAGTGACTGGTAGCTCGGTGTTGTGATGAATCGAGCCCAGGTGAAGAGACGGCCCCAGAACAGAGAGAGACCCTTGGCCTGGCTAGGCCTGGTAAGCAAATTATTACAACATTCAGGGACTTTAATCCATTGCCCCTATTCCACCCACTTCTGCTGCCACCCCTCGTCGGTCTGCAGCCTGCACAGTGGGAGGAGTGTGATCTGGTATAAAGGAACGGATACGGATAACTACTTCGTGTGTGGTATTGTTGGAGGCCATCGCTTCATCAATTATAGTATATGCATCTGCTGTGGGAACACAGGCACGCGGATACGGTGAGGAATTGCTGCAGCGAAACGTGCAGGACAATGCACAATCAACTGCATAGCACGCTGTGGTGTGCTTACGATTGGTAGAGCAGACGCAGCCAGCCGCTGCCCTTGCAGAACTGGCCAGCAACAGGGAGCAACAAGACCAATTGTTAACCAGCGGCAACTGGTGTTTTTTTGCTGCTCTACAGCTACTGCAAGGCCAAGCACGAGCACAAGCACAAGCAAGGGTCCCCATGTCTTGGCCCACACCCGACTCGTTAAGTTGGGCTTCGTGCGCACGCCCTGACCCATCCGTCCATTACCTTACCAACCTCGTGTGCTTGTCCAGTGGAGGAGCTGGTGGAAGGCCGCTGTAAATCAATGACGGACAGCCCGCTGGGGCCAAAAATTCAACATTGAATCATTGCCGCAGGCATGATCAGTCCAAGAGTCGAAAGATACGGAGGCGACCGAATGGCAAAGAAGAAAAAAATCTGCCCTTGAGTTATCAATTCAGAGCCTTTCCCCCCTTCTTGCCTCTCATTACGAAACTTTTGTCAGCCGCCGCGTTGAACTTGGCAAATGACAAGAGCAAGACAGCCACAACATACAATAGCTACTGTAAATTCCGCTGCCCGGGCTGTTGGTTTTGCAACCACTCTTGTTGTGACATTGTTAACGCTTCTCTTGGCATAATTCTCTTTGGAATAGAGGCTTCAATCAAATGGTATGGCCGGGCACCCCTAGGCGTTGTGGTAGGGCTGCCATAGAGCAAATGAAAGGTTCATCCTGTGTTTCCCTACACTAGTTAACAGTGAATCGTTTTCTCCTATGCCATAAACGGGCATTTCTAGATTCCACAGAACATACTCTGTATCCTGATGCTTTATCACTAACCAGCAGCCCAACACAACCACAAGCTTGCCGCCTCTAACCATGATACCAGGTTATGGATTGTACAGAGTATACCTCTCTCCATCTAAATACCGTCACTCCACTACGCGCACTCTAACTAGAGGCTGGGCTTTATCGACCCTTGTCTAGCCACCAATCCGGCCATCGGGTGTTCCCCTCCAGAGGTCTAGATACATATCCACTGACAGGACGGGAACGGGTAGTCTCCTGTGATCCCTCCCTCCATTCATTCTGTGTAAGTCACTAACTTACGGAGTACATGCTAGTGATCTATCTCAGCGCTCGGGAGCGCCCAGAGACATTGACCACCTGGAAAGCCGTGGGGCGGGTGATGGCGATGGTGCTGTGGTGTTAGTGTTGGTGTCGGTATTCTGGGTGCGTGCTGAGCGCTTTATGAGTAGGAGTGATACTCAGTTGTCGATTGAGACAAGGCCAGCCCAGCCATGAGAAACCCGTTCCCGTCTGTTCCTTTCTCCATCATCTCCAAGTCTCTGTTTGTTTGTCGTTGTGTATCGGATACTTGTCTCTCTACAAGTTTAAAAAAGAGAGTGAGAGAAAGAAGAGCAAGTGCAAACACATAGCAAGCGCGAGAAACTGGCTGAAAGTTTTGGATACTTTGCTGAGGGCTCAAATTGCCACTGATTCGATGCTAAAAGCAAACAACCAAAGAGTATCCAGTACCCTCAACTGCCCCATTCATTCCTAGGTCCCAATCCATCGACGCCCCCCTTCCGCCCCCCTTCCACTTCCCTTCCCAGTCCCTTGCTCCCCTTCCAGGATGCTTTCCTAACCTGGCCTTTCGACCCTTTCCCCTTTCAGGCCTTGTTCCCCTTCTCTCTCCTGGTCACTTTCAGTCTACCCTCGACTCTTCTGCTTTGACCTTTTTTTCGAACCCATTTGGCCCATTCGAATCGTCTCTCTCCCTCTCTCCACACATTCAAAGCTAGAATCCGCTCGCCCCAGCAGCAAACCATTCAGTGCAATTCAATTCAGTTCAGTTCATTTCGTCCTGTTCCCCATCTCCCTTTGTTCCTTGCATCATCTCGTGTCGACCGCAAAGAGCGCCTTTCTCCTCGATCGTCTCATCTCGTCCTGTCCTTGGTTGTTTGCCTTTCGACAAATCCATTTCTCGCGACGTCCGGATCTTCATTCACAACGACGAGTCCCGGTCAAGAGATATCATTATCAGGGAGCGCATCCTGAACTCTAATCACAATGGCTGCGAACACAAAGGTAAAGCGCGAAACCACACTGCCCGGGAGCAACAGCACCTGTCATCGAATTTCTCGACATTTACACTGCATCATTCCGCCACACATGATCGATCGTGTTGCTGACCTTTCATTAGTTCCTGCGAGAGTACAAGCTCGTTGTTGTAGGCGGTGGTGGTGTCGGCAAATCCTGCTTGACTATTCAGTTGATCCAGAGCCATTTCGTCGACGAGTATGACCCCACGATTGAAGGTTGGTGTCCCTAAATTCATTTGCGTGGCCATCACATCGCGTCAGGAGCAGTATTAACCCAACGTCAATTACAGACTCGTACCGAAAGCAGTGTGTCATTGATGAGGAGGTCGCACTGCTCGATGTCCTCGACACAGCCGGCCAAGAGGAGTATAGCGCCATGCGCGAGCAATACATGCGAACCGGAGAGGGATTTCTGCTAGTCTATTCGATTACTTCGCGACAAAGCTTCGAGGAAATCACCACCTTCCAGCAACAGATTCTGCGAGTCAAGGATAAGGACTATTTCCCCATGGTCGTTGTTGGCAACAAGTGCGATCTGGAAGGCGACCGAGATGTGTCACGACAGGGTACGTTCTATTACGAGTTGGCTTTAGCATGAATTACTGACAAAGGAAACAGAGGGAGAGGCACTTGCAAGGTCGTTCGGTTGCAAGTTCATCGAAACATCCGCCAAGTCCCGAATCAATGTCGACAAGGCATTCTACGACATCGTACGAGAGATCCGAAGATATAACCGTGAGATGCAAGGCTACTCGACTGGCAGCGGCGGTACCTCAGGCGCGAACGGTCCCCCAAAGCCCATGGATATGGACAACGGCGAGCAAGAAGCTGGATGTTGTGCCAAGTGTGTACTGATGTAAAGGGAATAATATCTAAGGGCGAAAGAGAGACCATCTCGAGACAAGGCGAGATGCGATGGGCGGGATGTACCCGACATGTCTGGTTTCTATCAACTGTACGCGACATGATGTGAGGATGCAATATAACCAATAGGCTTTAGGAAGAGCACGGAGATGAAAAAGTGATTGCATCGGACGGGAGTCAGGATCTGGGTTCATATTCACATTTGATTCGGACGCAGCCAACGGAGATACCCAGCGACATGGGATTTAGAGACCCGGCGTGCTCATGGCAGAGGAAGCGTCTTTGTGAGCAATGCCGATGGTTCATGCTTAATGACCCACGATCCATATGACATGGAACATGGATCGGCGTTTCTCTGGAGTGGCTCGCTATCTTGGACGTTGTGGATAAGCAAAGAAAAGAATCGCCTTCATACTGGAGGAGAGAGACAGACAGGGGAGGGAGTCTGCTGCTGACATTGCGAATGTCAGATGCAACTCAATGCAATGCTACTCATCCCTTCCTCAGGACCTCGCGAGAGATTAAAAATTCACCCGACCATTTCCATTTTTTTGTTTTGTGTTGCTGGGGAGGATGAATTTTTCAAAGTACGGCTTCAGATTCTCTATATCCTTATTTCTTTCATACATGTAATTTTTTGCTTATATTTTTCTATCTGTCAATCTCGAGGTCTCCTTCTCTCCAGCAGCAATGGTTCAGTCAGTCAGACAATACAAGTACACATCCCTTTTTCTTATGGTTCAAACAGCTTCGTCTTTTGTCTCTTGATGCAGAACATTCCGCTCAGCTGTGTTATCAGCCACATGGCTTTTCTCATAAAACAATCCGGAATGCTTCATATCCGAGATTGATCGGTGCGTCCCCTTGAGTTTCTTGTGCATGACAGGGTGGTAAAGCTCCTGGTTCACCATGTTAGGTCAGTCTCAGCCTATCTGCGTCGGCATCTTGTTGCGTGTGAAAACTGATAAGTCAATTGCAAACCTAGGTTCTATGTCTCAGAAACACCAAACGCCAAACTCCGGAATCCTACTATCTTAAATTCACATGAACCATTGTTTTCAGCCATCCATCATCTAGACAGACACCAATTGCCCCAGAACCCTGCCGGTGGTTATCTCTCGACGTGGGTCGAGAAGTTTGCGCCCGATATTTAGATTCCATAGCGGCTTGTCAATCGCCGTTGGCTGGTTGTTCACGTCGTTCTGTTCATTCACAACCCAGTCATTGCAAACGACACAAGCCCATGCCGTCGGCGCGCCCGTTACAAAACCATCGACGTTGGCCGAAATATTGACCTTCTCACTAGGCTTTTGTGCAAGACAACTGGGACACACTGCCTTCTTGAAGCGCGACAGCCGCCATTCTTGCATCAATGCCGCGTGTTTCATAACCTCTTTGGCATAGTACAATCTATGGAACCGGCAGAGCGATGTTCCTAGCATTCTGTTGGCCCACGAACAGCCTGTCAGAGCCTCGGTATTCCTCATGAGTTTGGCGGCGGCTTGTGAGGGGTCATTGACCAGTTTCTGTATGATTTGGGAATGCGCATCATCCGCTGCAATGCCATATACCCGCCTGGTACCGACAATTTGATTCTGGACCACGTTCGGAGCACCGCTGCTCATCTGACCTGCACAGTCATTGCAGAGATAAGCACGCATGCTGAGCAGTTCACCTTCGGTTATGGGATTATGCTCATGCTGGAACAAGCACTTCACGTTACCCCAGGTACAATCATTGCATACTGGGAAGTATGGTAGGGCTGTGTTGCGATGGGCATGGCTCTGGCAGATAGCCTGACCTTTGCCATCTGTGTTCCAAGCGTTACACAGTCCCCATCCGCCCTCTCCCGGTTCACCGCAATAAAGGTTTGTCCTTGTAACCTTCTCCTCGCAAGGCACGTCGCCAAGAACATCACGTAAGGGCGTTGGCTGGTTTGTTTGACGATTGGCAATAGAAAAGAGGCGTGGCCGGGACTCTTCTTCAGGATCTTTAGACTTTGACTCATGCCATTCGCTCATTTCAATACCCTCGAGATGATTGAAGACCTTCCAGCGTGAGCTCTTTGGCTTCTCCTTGGACTGAGGTTTCTGGTTCGGACCGAATGTGAAACCGAGGAAAGGATTGAAAGCAACTTGATCGTTTGCGTTCTTGGGCGCCCGTTTCCCGCGAGCCGTTCTCTCTTGGGATGACCTTTTGCTGCCTCTAGAGGTTTGAGGCTTATGCCAGCGCTCCCCACGATTCGCGCGGGAACGCCTATGTGCCTGCTCACCACTTTGATCTACGAAATGCCCGTACCGACGCTTGAAAACCCCCAGGGATTCGTTACTTTCTTCTGGAGACTGCGAACCACTATATCGCTCTTGTTGGTCATTTCCAATCACCTGAGCCGGGATGGCACGCTTAGCCAAGGGCCGACGTTCACCACTTTCGTCGTCTGCGTTTTGTGGCGCTATTCCTGATTGATTGAACTGATCTACCAAGTATAGATCGTCCCACGGTTGACTGTCTTCTTCGGGATCTACTGGATCTTGATGCGGTCCCATTTGCTGTGAATAGGCATCTGATTGCCGTTGATCCCAGTTTCGGTAATCTTGCGGGTTCAGCAAACCTTGGTCTTGTTGCATTTGCTGCCCATTCTGCGCCTGGGAAAACGTCTGTTGGTCGAAGCTATTATGTATTTGCTGATTGGCTGGATCTAGGAATGGTGGCACTGGCTGTGGCTGCTGTTGACTAAAGCCCCCGTCTTCTTCTTGCCCGGCTGCTGCTGGATCTCCACATGCCTTGATGAGATGGTCTGTATAGCTACCTGGTTGATGTCCTGCTGGAAAGGGATATGGAGGTGCTTGTGGTTCCGGTGCATTTTGTTGAGGATTATATGTGTCTCCATATTGCATCGGCGGTTGGTTTGGCAGTAATTGTGTTGCCCCCTGTGATTGTGCGGCATGCGGATTTTGATAAGCAGCTGAAGGTATATGACTTTGAGTTCTCTCAATGTCAGCGAGCACAGGACCTCCCCGGAAGCTGCGCACTGCTGGTGCTACCGAGTTGGGTTCCATACCGGCCTCCACCATCTGGAAATCCTGCACGTTGCGCAGAAGGCTCCAAACTTTCTGGTACGCTTGCGGGTAGTTCTTTGGGGGCTGGGGTTGATTGTCCCAATACAGATTCATCAAGTCGCGCCAGGATCCGACAGGTGTGCCCTTCAGTTTCCTGCCAGACTCAAGACAGGCAGGGGGCAAAAAGTTCACTGGCGGGCGACGAGATCGATGAGCGTTGGCTACGGATTTATAAAGCTGCGGACCGTCCTTGGGGTCGACCAGGCCGTACATAGGAGCTGCAGGACCAATCCAATGTTCAATGCTTCGACCATCCTTGAGGTCGTCGACACCTTCAGGGCCATATCCCAAGGCCAGGTAGTACAAAGGACCAGGATTGTAGGTTTGCTTGTTTTCCTTTTCGGCTATCTTGCCACGGTCAATACATCCAGGTTTGGTCCAATGGATAGCATCGCATCGCGCCTTGTGTTGTATGCAACTGTCACATGGTCTTTGTCTGTCACAGTTTCTCCCAGCCTCTACACATTGCTTGCAGACCTGGTAAGGGGTGAATTGTCCGAAACCAACCCTGCTCAGATCGAAGATTGGACAATGTCGAAGACCACCATTTTCTGGGACCATGCAGTCGATACCAATCTGCGTGCAGCGCTCACACGCGTAGTATGGCTGGAACCACATGACCAGACAGTCGGTAGCTTTCCCAGCTGTCTGGCACCCTTGACACGGCTTTCTCCAAGTTGTGTGTGGTAGCACTTCCGTATATTCATGCCATTTTTCTTTTTTGGTCTTGTCCCCCTTTGTCTTCTCTTTGTCCGCCTCGAACTGGGTGCGTATCTCCCAGCTTGTGGGCAAGTTCTTGTCACGTTTGGTAAAAGGCCCCACGGGAGCTCCAAGGTCCAAACATATTGTCCCGTCCCGTTGACATTGTGCGCAGGCTTGGTTGTTCTCCCACTCTCCCCTGTCTTTAATCCAGCTGCAGCAATCCTCCTCTCCCTCCAGCTCACCGTTCGCCTTGTGACGCAACAAACAACGATCGCATGGATGCCGGTACCACGGTCGACGTGTGAGCTTGTTTGGCCGTGTGAAGAGCGTTGCCACCTCGCCAACCTTGCAGGCCCCCCCTCTTCGACAACTGTGATTGTGGCAACCGTAGCCTAGTATCGTATCGACGTCGCATGTTTCTCCCCGTTTATTTCTTTCACAAGCATCACAAGCCTTCTTCTGATACGTCTTAGGATCGTCAACGCCGTACCTTTTGTGCTCGAAGTGGATCAAGGACGTTTCAGGGCCTGGAACCTGGCACTTATGGCCGCCTTTCTCAGCCAGCTCTGTGTTATCCTTGTTTCGAGAGCGGTAATCAGCGCAGTTGGTGCATTCTAAATTATACGTTTTGGGGCCGTTGCTCTGTGAAACCTGTTCCCAGTCACACGGCTTGGCGTCGCTGATCTCAGGGTGTTTATCACAGAAGAGGCATTTTGTCCCTTTAACGACCCGTTCACAGTCTCCTTTCTTGGTATTACTCTGAGAATTGCTCCTATCCTCGGAGGCAGCTGGTTCTCCCCTGGGCTTCTTTTGCGGCCTGGGATCCGAAAGAAGATCGTCTTCACCGTCGTCTTCCTCTCTGTCGGTAGCCGCTTTCCGTTTCCTGGTTATCTGAGGCTGTCTCGACGGAGGTGACGTTGTGTTTGGAGTGGGATTAGGGATTCCAGAACTGTTGGCGTTGCTTCCCTCGGCGCCAGATGCGTTTGGCGAAAGATTTCTCGTCCTTTTCGGAGCGGGCGCCCTAGCGTCTGGTGAGGCTGCCCGACCTCTCTTATTGTGACCCCCAGTAGATGGGCCAGCAAGAGATGGCTGAGAAAATGGAGGAGCGGGAAGACCAGGAGGAACAATGCCATGATCGGCACGAGCGTTGACAATATTAGGATGTCCTACAATGGAATGAGGCTCATGTTGTTGAACTGGAATAGGCACTTGCGGATTACCGCCAGCGGAACGAGGATTTTCAAATGTAAATGGTCCTGGAGCGCCAAGAACAGTACAGTGGTCGAATTCACCCTTGGCCAACATCGCTTTGTGTGCCATGGCCAAATTGTGTAGCTGAGTCAGAGCCCAATTCCAACTCCAAGCCCGAGCCTTTGCCTGAGGATCAGGAAAAGGCTGGATGAATATCTTTTTGAGTGTCTGTTTGGCAACCTTATATGGAGACTGCGTCTCAAAATTCAATTCCTCCTGAACGAGAGGGTTCGGAGTTTGCTGCTCCCAAGTGGCCGATCCAGCGCTCTGATCGAAAGAAGGCTCCCAAGGCCCGAAGGTTGCGTTGATCAAATTTGGATCACACTGAAATCCCTGTATTGAATTATTTTCATTGTGATATTGGCCTGGATATTGATCCTGGTTTCCATTTTGACTCTGGTTCTCATCTTCAGGAAGCATGCCGTAGTTTGGATATCCCGACATGTTGTTATAGTCTCTCGAGAGAAATCGTGACTGTTCAAAACTCAGTGAATGATACGGTACTCTAAACTTAAGGACTGTGCCTGTAAATATTTGATAGCAGGCAAGTTAGAACTAAAGTGTGCTTGCTCACTATACAGCAACATAAACAATAGAAACAATAAGAGTCCAGTTCATGAGTTTTGATCTGGAGTGTATAGAGTGACTAAAGAGTGCCCAGGACTTGAGCTGATGTTCTTGTTCTTATCAACTCAATGTTCCCTCGCCCGAGCCCTGCATCCTTTGTTCCACACATGTCAACCAACGTGAACCGTCTTTGTCCAAGAAATCTCCCTTAGCTACCCAGGACACACACTATAGTTCTTTGATACCCGATTTAGATCACCGAGTTCCATTATTCGTCTGGTGTTGTCGAGTGTTCATTCATTCTTGACTGATGCACAAAGAACTTGAGAAGAATCAGGCAAAGTTCGCAGATGGGACACCCATGAGACTAACGATAATCCCATTTGTAACCAATCGCACTTGTCCGTGAGCCTCTTTTTGTCTTGACGGGTTTGCTGAGACTTGACCATTGTGATGTGCGAGCACGTCAGATGGACCCCCTGGGCCGAATCTGATTCTTTGTTGTCATCTCTATTCACCCATCAAACGGGCCAGTGCCTTTTCAATACAGCCTCTTTATCACCGATATCAGCAAGCTAATGAGGCTTGCCCCCTCTTGGTCCAAGTGTGAACGCATCTCATACTCAGAAGCTGGAGAATAGCTTCATTTCAAAAACGCCACTCTACTGAAAGAATACAATACGAAATTCCTGCTTTTGTATCTACACAAACTCTTCACATCATGCCACTGTGCTCTAGGCGGCTAACCTTCCACGGGCGTCCTAATTGTTAATGCTTTTCGCCATGCCTTCCAGAGAGTCCATCCCGTTTTCCCGTCAAAGAAACGCTCAATTATCCTCGATTAACCCCAGTATACATACATATCTAATGGTCTTCACTTTCAAATTCCCCACCAGTCCATCTTGTTCCTCTAATAGGGGCTAGATGTCGTATCAAGAAGAAACAGAGCACCAAACCCGTCTGCCCGTTTGCGATTAACACGGAGCCTCCACTATCTTCTCATTAAGTCCATAACCTCGCCTAACCGGAGAACTGGAAGCGCGTGGCCTCGAGCTGGCCGAGTCCGTCGCGGGGTGCCACATTTCGTCGTCTGTAAGTATTGGTGAAATCTTGCAGAATCGCGCGCACATTTTTCATGGCGCTGGGGTCTCCCGACTCAAGTCTCTCTTTGATCTTGATCAGGAATCTGTTGGCCTCGGCAGGGGAAACAGTGCCCTCTGGTAGTAGCTGTATTGTGTGGGAGACCCATTGGTGAGTCTGGACAGGAACCAGCTCAAACAACGCCAGCAGAACACCACTGCCATCAGCGAAACAGTCGCGGGGGAAAGTGATCATCATGCCCGCCATGACCTGCTTGACCAGACCCTCGCCAAGAGTAAGTAGCAGATTCTTGACAATGGCCTTGACCTCCGCAGCCGTTGTCTCCGGTAGCCTATCGCTACTAGCAGGGTTATCACCACCGTATGACAAGAGATCACGGAGGAAATGCAGCGTTGAGGACAGAGGGTCTCGCTGCTCTAGAGTTAGAGCGTAGATGGACGCCTCAAAGACAGACCTTAGAAGATGAGATGGAATGAGCTTCTGGGGGTAGTAGAGAAGGGCGTCAATCAGAAGGCGGAAGAAGTCATCAATAACGTCAGGGAGTTCCTTAGGTTGTAGTTCCGTCATGACTCGGAGGAAAGTTGTTGTCTGGGCTTCAAAAAATGTGTAAATGTTCTCAGTGGTGGCTTGGTCAACGTGCTCTCGTGCTTCAGAGAATTCGCGCAGGATCGCTGAAGTGACCCACAAGAAACATCCTTCCCTTGAGTTGTTGAAGCCGCCAGCAAGCTTGTTTGCCATTTCTGGGAGCAAAGGGGTCATGGCTGTGCGGTGGGCAATGACCATATTGCGCCAGCACCTGCAGACGCGCTCGCAGATGGGAGTGAAGTTCAAGAAGTTGTCCAGTACGGTGGAAAGGATGGGGAAAACCTCCTGCCAGTACTTGACAGCAGGGTTCTCCTGACCAGGGCTCACAGGGGGCACGACGTATTGAACAAAGATGGTGATGAGCTGTAGATGATCTAAAACGGTGTTAGTCTTGCTTGCTGAAACGAATTCGGGCTTACTTACCAGCGAGCGCCAATTTGCCCTCCTCGTCTGTAGCATTATTGGCTTTGGCCATCAAACGCTGGATCAATGGGTCGCAGTATAGCTTGAGCAATCGGTAAATCTCCTCTGTGGGCTGGCAAGCCACAACGTTAGCAACACCTTCTGTGATCTCTTCCTTACTCAAGTCTGGGAGCTTATCCAACACTTCATCATAGAAGGTCTGAAGCTGCAGCACTTGGCCACTCAGGAGGTGCTTGCAATCTGTACAGAAGAACTTGATAGCCAAGGCAGCGGCGCGGATGATCTCCCTGGAATCCGACTGGAATGATGTGACGATGTAGTTGAATTGGGGCTCGAGATATTCCGGATGGGCAGCTGTCCATTCAGTGTAGCGGCCGAGTACCATGATGGTTGCGAAGCGGAGCTTCTCGTGGCTCGGCATCTGTACAAGGAGAGGCATAAGCTGGCGAAGCACAATACTCTCATCCTTGTCCACCATGCGACCGAGAGCGCGCAGGGCAAATAAAGGCGCCTCCAGCTCCTGCCAGTGAGGTACTGAGTTATCGTTCACTTGGTTGGCGTACTTTGACATCCACAGCTGAATTGCTTGGAGAACCTTAGTGAGACAGTCCGTAACGCCCATCACCTCGCAGCAATCCTTTAGTGTGTCGCCCATCTGGTGTCGAAACTCTCTGAATTTCTCCTCTTGCTCGCGATCTCCGTCGAATAGATCATTTTCGTTACCCGAGTCCGGCTTGGGGTATTCAAGTTGCTTTAAGAGAATGTCCACCAACTTGGAGTAGACGTCAACAAGCTCAAGCCGACCTTGAATATAGATCTCCAGCACAAGATAGAGCTTGAGCTCGTACCAAAAGTTAAAGGTATGCTCAATGACATCGCGCTCCTTGTCTCTCAAGGCGCATTCCAGCACAGCGTCAACTAGTGGTCGGAAATGTGTAGGTTGGCGGGCGACTCCAACGACCCAGCTCTCTGCAGCAGTTGCAAACACCTTAGTCAAAGACTTGAGTGCCTCTGTGTCATCCTCCTCGGCTGCCTTGGCCACTTGGGGCTTCAAGGAGATGATTCGTGGGAATAGTAGCTCGATGATCTCCTGACTCTCGTCGACGTCGCTGGTCTCTCGAAGCATGGTGCACAGACACTCGGAAGCCTCCTGACTGCAACCATCGCTAGTTGTGCCGTTGAAAACAATATCCATTAGAGGCGACTTGACAACATTGCCTACTGGGACCTCTCGAAGCCAGGAAGTGATGCACTCCATCAACTGAGGGTTCTGAGCGGCTGCCGCTGCGATAGATGTTAGTAATTTGGCAGTGGCGGAAGGTCACGCAACTTACGTGAGGACTGAGAATAGTTGATAAGGAGTTGGACGACCTGGTCCGCATTATCGGCCAAGAGAGCCTGCGTTCGCATCGCAAGATCTTCTTCCTAATTCCAAACAATTAGACTTGAGCTGGTGTTGAGGTCGACCGGATTTGACAATCTCGAAAGAAGCGAATTCCCGATCTATGGTTGCGCGATCCACGTACAGACAAGGTGATCTTTCGACCCTCGGTGACTTCTTCAGGGAGAACCCTCAGGAAATCCAAAATGCAGGCGTGGCTCTCGGGGCTGTCACTAAGCGACTGAACGACAGAAGGCAGAACATCGTTCCAGTCCTTCATTTGGATCGCTAGAATGGCCAGACACACACAGAGCTGGACACGGATAGGCTTGGGACCCGGGGCGAAGTGCTTTAGAAGTAAGAGGATTTGGTTTCGAAGGGCAGGCAGTTCGTTCGCGGGAACTTGGGTAGAGAGGTCGTATGTGATCTAGAAGGGAGAAGTTAACAGTGAGGCCGAGGTGTATATCACAAGCTTCAAACCTTTCCACGCAGGGTAATGGCGGCAAAGAGGGTTGCCTCTGGCTCGGCATCAGACTGCAGAATACCCATTATAGTTGCCCATGAATCCTTCTATACATATCCAGCGTTAGCGACCTAGCCGTATGAAGAAGATCCTGCAGCGACGCACTGATTTCTGAAACCTCTCTAAGTACTCGTGGGCGTGCTTCTTGGCCTCTTGCTCCCCGCTCCTCATAGTCATAACAGCAGCCAGCACATCAGGCGGCGCAAAAGCCTCCTGGGCCCCGTTTGAAGCCATTTCGTTTTGAAGGGTGAGCAGGGGATATCAAAGTTGAGTGTCGGGGTATGTGGCTATGATGCGCACGATTGACCTTCGTGAGTAGTGGCGCATGCAAAGGGGGGCAGCAGTTGGGATCGATGAGGCTCCTATGGATCGCAAGGGAAAACTTTGGCGAGAGGATAAGTCGAGAGAACCGGTTGAGAAGGAAGAAAAGAATGGAAGTATAGTACGGAGCCCAGAAGGCAAACAAGTTCGGAAATTCAAGAGAGCAGGTAATTCAATGACCTGGCTAAGGTTTGTTTAAGGTCAGGATAAGTGCCTACTAGAAGTATTTACGATTCTTAGGTTGCTCGTCATGGCCATGGCGGGGCAACCGCCCGGATATTACCCGACATCTCAAGTTTGACTACTCCGTACTCCGCAACATGACACACCTCATGGACGAAACATATGTGCATCTCTGGAATTATCAATAACAGTTGAAAAATACGAAACCCAAACATATGATTCATGATGTCTGACAACAGAGCTTCGTGTTTGTGCTGAGAATAGTCTGGCAACTATCTGAACAACAGAGCTGAACCTACACCTGGCTGGGAATATCACGTGGCCCCCAAATCATATACCAAGCCCTTCAGTTTTAAGGTTATAAATCTTGTCGTGGATATCGCGAAGTAGAGGCTTCATGTACACCGGCGTTGATCTCGCCGTTTCCAAGAATAAGGCCATTGAGTCTACGATCGTGAGTGTCTGTGGGAATCTGAAGCTCCGACGTAGCAGGCACCATCTGTTCTGTCAAAGCCAAGCCATACAAATGTAGCGGGTTCTCGTGCGCTATGCCCTTTGTTTCGAGCTTGGCCATGTATCTGTTGATAAAGAAATCATAAAAGCCCTTGCCGTGGCCAAGGCGTCGAATTGACCCTGACTGGTCAAAATCGAATGCGACTCCAGGCACAACCATGAAGTCTAGAATTGCGGGCTCGGAATTCTGGACGTCTGAACCACCCAGTATACGTCTTCTCGCATCAACAGTAGCTGGGTCAACGCTGGGAATCCCCCACTTATCCAACTTTAGGCTCTCATAGTCCTGGACGTCTTTTAGGTGAACCATGTCCATTACCCGAGCTGGAGTGTCCGGTGTTTGAAAGGGCGACTTGTGTAAGTAAGGAACAAAGACCTGCTTGCCAGCAGATAAGGCATGGCGCACAATAGCATCTGTCTGGACCTCAGCCGCCGGCATAGCCAGATAGATGCTGACGCGCCGAGCATCCTTGTAAGGCTGAAACTCTTTCAAGGTCTCGAAAATACAGCGACCTGTATGACTGGTGTTAGGGGAAGCGTTCTACGAATAGACACATGACATGATAATGAGTGATTGGTTGGTTGTCATACTCTGAGTTGTGATGGAGTCCTGGGTGATCTTGGACAGCTTCTGCTTCATGAGACTTCTCAGCTGCTGCTTAGCAGCGGGAAGGGATGACGCCATGACGAGGGTGACAAGACAGATGAACCAAGATGGTGGATTGGCGATTGTTCCTGTTTGTTGGTGGTAAAACTGTATTTTGAATAACGTGCTGGAGAACCCACCTCGGAAGGATGCTGCGCTAAGAATCAAAAGCTCCTGGTGTGACACGCCCTTGGGACCGACGGAGCGGATACGCGCCGAACCCAAATCGCTCTCTGGCGTCATCGCCATCATGTGAACGGAAGCCGACGCCGTCTAACGTTGAGACATGACAGGCGGCATCAGCGGTGAGACCCGAGGAGACAAAATGAAAGCCTAATTCCACTCCAATAGCCCTTACATCTGTATTTCAGTCGACAACGGCGGATATTGAGGAAAAGACGCCAAAGCGAATATTTGGAGGGTATGGATTGCTCAGCTGTTACGAAGTCTGTCCAAGGGACCTGATGGTAACCCCCACGGGAAGGCTGTATGGGAATATTTTGGGAGCGTCAACAATCTGCCTATCCCGGGCTTTGGGAACGAGGAAAAGACGGCTCAGTACGTAAGGACTTTCACAAAGAAGCTGCGGTGTCGGACTGGGTTTCTTAACATTCATCAACCATGTATGGCTGTCTGTAAGCACTGTATAACGTAAGGAGATGATATCTCCCGCAGGTACTCCGTAGGTAGGTAGGTAGGTACTAAGGTAGGCAGCAAGTAGTTAGACTGCAGACGACGATTGGAAATGCAATTGATATCAGATTATTTGAATTATCAGGTCTCGGATTGGCAGAAATTCTCAAACGGCACAGGTAATTCGAGCCTGGTGCTACAAACCATGAAAAAACGTCCGTGTCTCATGGTTCACCATGTGCCAGAAAAAGCTCATCATTTGCAATAGGCGACATTCTATTGCTCAGAAGTTGGGACGAACAACCCAATCTTCGCTAGCTAAAGCCATGTCTCAGGCATTGCTGACGAGGAACAAGTTTGAACATGGGTGGTTTACGCGTGGGATGTGTGAAATGAGGATCCGAATTCCTTCCAGGGATTGGGGCGTGTCATAAAAAATACCTTCAAGGGTCCGCTGTCTATAGAGACGGGAGGAATGGGATTCACTCACTACCAGATCGTTTCGCGACGAGGCTGACGGCTGAAGTATAGTGGCTCGATTACGAACAAACAGCGGCAGATCTACAAGTTCAGCAATATAAGGTTCAGAGGCTGTTAAGCTACCTAGTAACTAGGGCAGGAAAGAAAACACAGGACCTCGATCCTAAATGACAAAAAGGCTTAAGTAATATAGCCTAAGCCTAGGGTGACTTTTACTAAGTTTATTTTAACACTTCACAGCAAGGTTCGCTGTTTTCTTGCCCCCAGAGGGCTACCTATCTGGATCGTCAAAGGGTCAGGAACGGTTCCTAGGTGCTCTGATAGCGACAGAGACGGGACCAAACAGGCCAGACAGAGGACAGCCAGGGTGCCATTGTAAAACACAGGGGTTTGGGTTGTGATTGTGATCACATCTTCGGGTGTTATCTAATCAGATCCATCAACCATCCTCAGAAATTTGAACTGTCCCTGTCCTGTGGCCTGTAGCCGAGATGGGGACGTCAGGGGTTTTGGTTCGGCCCGCTTGTTGTTGCCGGGTTTGACGATGAGGTGCTTGGTGCTCAGTGCGTCTCGGAGACAGGAACAAGGGTTTGTATGACCGAGAACGAGGAAAGATAGAGATCAAGAGCATCTCTACGGCTCGTGAAACACCAGTGTACTGCAGCCACTTTCAGGCTGTGAGTACCCTATATGTCTGATTCGTTATATTGGATGGCACCAAAACCTCCCAGAATTGAGTGCACTGCTGTATGAAACTGATGAACAGATGGCCTGGGAGACTACCCAATAAACATGCGAGATGAAGGACAGCCAGCCATTCATTCATTTTGGCAAAGATATGGGTGCTCCCTTGTGGAATGGCACTTGGTTGCCCAATTATTTGTGAATTGCAATTGGATAGTTGTCATTCCTGGCATCTTCGGGAAGCATTGTTAGCAAGTCATGCAGCTGTCAATAGTGCTTTGAGCCTGAAATTCATCATCCATATCAACGCTCATGTTGTCTATTCTTCTGATACACCGCATACTCTCCGAGTCATACCAAAAGCCATTGCGCGAGCTGAATACCGTACTACTAACTCATGCACAATGCTCAATGTTTTGTCCTGCAGTAGCTACGTACCTAGATTGCCGTCATCCCGTCACTCCACTGACTCCTGGTCACCACCCACTCAAAACCCTTGAACTCCCCACGCCTGAAGACAGGGCTGTCTTCTCCAAAAGCTCTTGCTTGCTTGATGGGCATTCCCGTAACGCGCCGTAGCCTTGCTTTTTTATTATGCATTATGTCTTTCTACCTATCACTGTCTTTGGATATGCTTTGTTGTCATTAATGCCATCCACCTGCTGTCAATTGGATCCTTTTGAGGCACTTTGCTAGCGGACGGCCCCTCTAACCACATTTTCTCATGGTATCAGGGCCCTTTTGATGCTGCTCCATACCATTACAAGGCAATGCCACACGCCAGATCGATGAGAGCTGGAGCCCGTTCGATCACGCCCCTCCTAAGTCGCTACCTATTTCGTTCACGCTGGCTTGGCTTGCTAGTCAACGATAGTGTGGATAGCATCCATATCCATAGCTAAGGTGGCCAGCCAGATACTGATACACGATACACGCCCCCGCCATGGGCAAGCACACCACCAACTCATCCTCGGCCTCCATCTCTTCCAGCAAACGAAGCCTAAGCCGCCAATCTTCAGCGTCTTCGTCCCTGGCAGAGAGGGTTGGAGACAGGGTTACTGGTGATTCCCATCCACTCCGCCAGGACGTCGCCCTTCAGCCCCTAACATCCACATCCACGTCTGCATCCTCATCCTCTGCCAGGTCCACTGTGACTGTCTCACCCTCACACCCAGTCCAAGCCAAGGGTCATGTCTTGCCGTATCAGGCTCCGGCCTCTCATATACCTCCTCCATCATTAAGTACCGCTGCTACCCCAGCTGCATCTGCATTTGCATCTACACCTGCATCTGCATCTACTTCTACTCACGCTTCGGCTCCAACCTCAGCTGCTATTCCACCGGTTCTCGTTGGTAATCAAGATGCGGCGCAGCCTCTTGATCATATCGATTCCGACGATAGTCTAGATGCCATTCCTCAACCCATAGACGACACTATAGATATGGCTTCCAAGAAGACGCCCTTCTTGCGCTCCGCCGCTACTCGCTCCGATGCTGCTCCCTACGGTTCGGTCTCACTAACACCCAGTCGCAACAATTCACCCGCTGGTAGTGATCGCTGGGATCCCGATTCCCACCAGCTCCGTCACGTTCCGGATACAATGCGCAGCGAGGCCTCGCACCGCTCCATCCTTGGCAAGAAATCCTCCTCGAGGTTATCCGAAGAGATCGATGGCGCCGTCCTAGTCTCGGGCCTTGAAGGCCGCCTGGGCATTACCGAACCTACACATACTGGTGTTCTCGAGGGTAGCATGAAGGACGACTTGTCCGAAGATGGCGCACTGCTGGATGACGCTTCTTCGGCCGCATCAGATTCTGAGAATCAAGAAAACTCGCCTCACGAGGCTGTTCGCGCGTCCGTCCCGCCTACAGACAATACCACTCTATCCATAAATACGCCACGCATGTGGTGTCTCTCCGTCATTTTCGCCATTCTAGGCTCTTCGACCAATCTGTTCTTCTCTTTAAGATACCCCAGTGTTGCCATTACTCCAGTTATTGCCTTATTGCTTGTCCATCCTCTTGGACATCTGTGGGATTTTGTGCTAAAAAGACCTTATGACCCTGAGGAGGAGTTTATCGATGGTGTACGGACGACTTCTGTCAGTGACGATGCGCATGGATCGTATAAGATCAAGAGACGCACGCGTTGGAGGAGATGGCTAGCGCAAGGTCGTTGGAACGAAAAGGAACATACTTGCGTCTATGTCAGTAGCAACGTTGCATTTGGCTTCGCCTTTGCGACAGATGTTATCGTGGAGCAGACTCAATTCTACAACCAGGAAGCTCCTATCGTGTACCAACTTCTTCTCACTATATCCACCCAGATTCTCGGTTATGGCTTTGCAGGCATAACACGCCGCTTCCTAGTTCGACCCAGTGGAATGATCTGGCCGGGGACTCTTATGTCGGCAGCTATGTTCTCGACGCTTCACAAACAGGAGAACAAACCTGCCGGAGGCTGGACCATTAGCAGGTGGAAATTCTTCTACATCGTCTGGACTATATCTTTCCTCTTCTATTTTCTCCCTGGACTACTTATGCCAGCACTCAGCTATTTCAACGTCATCACCTGGTTTGCGCCCAAAAATGTCGTTATCGCAAATCTGTTCGGCGTATCTTCCGGTCTTGGGCTCTTTCCCCTGACCTTTGACTGGGCGCAAGTGACCTACGTTGGCTCACCGTTACTTGTCCCGTTCTGGGCTGCTATGAATGTTATCGGAGGTCTAGCTGTGGTAATGTGGATTATTGCGCCTATTCTCTACTACACCAACGTTCTCTTCTCATCGTACATGCCAATTCTTTCAGCTGCTGTTTTCGACAACACGGGCAAGGTCTACGATGTCAGCAAGATTCTTACGCACGATTTTCTCTTTGACCGAGAGGCCTATCAGAGCTACAGCAGAGTGTTCTTGCCAATCACATACGTGTTGAGCTATGGTGTTCAATTCGCTGGTCTGGCTGCTCTTCTGACGCATACTGCCTGTTGGCACGGTCAGGATATATGGAGGTCTTGGAAACGAGCACTTGAGGAGGCTCGCGAGGATGGGCAGCCCAAGTATGAACCGGTAGCGGATTCTCCTGGGCCTCTACCACGACAATCGTCCGACGAGGACCAGAGGCGCATGTCAACATCCACTTCTCATGTAGATGGAATTATTAGCCGCGAAGATATTCACAGCAAACTCATGAAGAGATACAAGGATGCCCCTCTGAGTTGGTATCTAATCACGTTTCTCTCCATGGCTGCCATCGGCATCTTCGTTGTCGAATAGTAAGTCTACGCCCCCCTATTCAGATGCCTTCCCTTGCTAACTGGTCTAGCTATCCCGTCCATTTGCCCTGGTACGGCCTTCTTCTCGCGCTTGGCCTTGGGGCTCTGTTTTTCATTCCCAATGGCATCATTATGGCTGTCACAAATCAACATAGCAGCATCTATCTCATCTGTCAACT